AGGGAATGGGAAGTTCAAGGGAAGCTCAAGTCTCACTTATCACACCAGGAAATCAATAGATAAGGACCCAAATAGATAAAATAAGAAATAACAGAGAAACCATATTATTTAGGGATGTGGCAATATCTACCTGAAGTAACATCTAGACAACTCCAACCGCAGAACCTGAGAGTGGGGGAGAGAGAGGCAGACCCCCAAGCAGAAGCAGGTGTGTGATGCAAGGTGGTCCCTAAGTCACCCTGTTCACCGTGGTGCAGTTGAGGACTAGGTGGGTCCTGCCGTGCTGGGCATATAGTAATGTGTGCACCAGCCAGCTCAGCGTGGACCATTTTGGCTCTGGGGTGCTGGATCCTGGGAGTGGCAGGCAGGAGAATGCAGTTCATTTCTCCAGCTAGAGAAATGGGGGGTGAGGGGAGCCCCAGGGAGGACCTGCGGTCAGTGTGGCTTGGCCCACAGGCCTTGACCTGGACATTGCAAACATTGTTTTCTGTCCCAGCCACTCCCAGAGGAACCTTTTATAGTGAGACCCAGTGAGAGCAGTGGTTCCCTGGCCAGAGCCTAAAATAGCCTGTCCCCTGAGGACCCCTGAAGAAGCTTGGCTTGGCTGCTAATCAGGTATCCAGGTTACCAGCATGGCTGGGGCCCAAGGCTCAGCCCGCGGTTGTTTATGATGATAACGCTAGTTCTGTGAGTCAGTGCTGGCTCTGTGTTAGCGCAGTTAACAGGGCCGGTAAAACTCTTCATCTCGGATGACAGCAAGGGAGCTGGGGCTTGGGAGGTAATGTCACCAGCGAGGAAGTGGCAGACCTGGGGCTTGAACCCGGGTCTGACTCAGAACTCTACTCTGCTGCCTCTCCATACAAATATTTTTCCCAAGGTGTGTCAGGGACTGGGAGGGGAAGATCTGGATGTCCGAGTGAGGGCAGAAGAAACCTTCTAGAGAATCCTGATGTCTTGGGAGCTGGGGTCCTGCTCCCGGTCTCAGGTTCCTCACTAACAGGAGCAGGCCCCTGTGGGCAGAGGGACGCCCAGGTCGGATGGAGATTCCTAGGAGGCCGGGGCCCTGGCTGGTGTTGGAACAGGCATCGCGGGCCTGAGTTATGGGCCAGTGAGGGCTACTTGCCTTCCTAGGGGAATCCAGCATCCTCCAGGGACCAGTCTTCCTGGTCAAATGTGGGAGGCGCTGCCCAGTGTGGGCTCTGTATTGAGGCCATAGTTTTCCCAGGTATTGACTTGTCATTAAGAGATGCGATGTGAACTTTTTGTAGGGGAGATGGGGTTATTGGACCAGATTGAATTAGCAAGTAGTAGGGGAAAGAAGAAAATTTCAGTTGATTATATAAGTTTAGATAGCAGAGTCTGGAGGTTGTGAGTCGCCGTGATGTAAGATTATGCTGCCCCAGGCTCCCTCTGTCTCATGGCTCTGCCATCCACAGCATGTGGTTTCCTCTTCCTGGTTAAAAATAGCTGCTTGAGTTCCAGCCATCACACCTCCGTTCCAGCCAGCAGGAAGGAGGAAGAGTCCAGAAGGGCACATTCCCTCCCTTTAAAAGCTCTTCCTTAAAGTTGAAAACAGCCTTTCTGTTTATATCCCCTTAGCCAGAACTTGGTCACATGGTCACGCCTAACTGCAAAGGAATCTGGGAAATGTAGGCCTCATTTGGAGCGGCCATGTGCTTAGCCAAAAACCAGTGGTTGTTACTGAGAAGGGGAGAACAGCTGTTGGGGGACAGTTTAGCGGTGCTGCCACAGCTGCCTTAAGAGCAAATTTATGACAACGGAAAAACCATCAAACGGCTCCTGCTCTCCTCAGTTCTGGAATCTACATCACGTGCCTGCTGAGTATAAGGCACTGTGCCAGGCAGGGTCACAGCTGCTTGTCTGAAGCTCCCTTTGTTTCCCAGGGTCACGGAGAAGGTCAGGGCTCTGTGGTGGGACAAGGCCAGGGGCTGGGGTTCTGGTCATAATTCCCCTGTGAACCGACTGTGGAACCTCAGGCCACTTCTTCACTCTGCTTCCCTCGCACATGGGGGAGTTGGTGACATGACTCAGCTTAGTCAAGGTCACGAGCAACACAGCTTGGATTTGTACCTGAGGGCACACTCCTCACCACTGGGCTACACTGCTTGGAGGTCTGCAGACCGAAGCTGTGGTTCTGGCCCCCTGCCCAGCACCATCCCAGCCCCCCCAGAGGCCAGTGACCTGGCTGGGTCAGCAGAGGCTCCAGCCAAGGGCTGACCAGGGCAGAGTAAAAGCACTGGGGCTGGGAGCGGCCGGGAAGGGGGGAGAAGTGGGCCCAGGGCCCAGGGCAGTGTTTGGTCACAAGCTGGGTTAGGTGGCTGAGGCACTGGCTCTAGCCCCTGCCTGTGTCTTGCCCACAGGGTAAGAAACCAACTTTGCAGCTGACTCCCAGAGCGGGAATTTTCAAGAAATCACTGCGGGAAAAAGAACGAAAAGAAAGGTTAAAGCAAAACAAAAAAATAAGCCGGATAGAAAATAGCAGAGTGCATTGTACAGAGAAAGGCTAAGTAGGGTTTCCTGAAATTTTAATTTACATTTTGGCTGGATCGAGTTAGGATAGAAATGTATTTCTCCGCTATGATAACTGTTAAGAAAGAGCCAGAGCCTCTGATCTAGAAGGCTGGCTGCCGATGGAAAGGGCTGTAAGTTCGAGGCCCATAAAATCTTTTTTTTTTGTTTTTAAGATTTTATTTATTTATTGACAGAGAGAGAGAGACAGCACACAAGCAGGGGGAGTGGGAGAAGGAGAAGCAGGCTCTCCGCTGAGCAGGGAGCCCGATGGGGGGCTCCATCCCAGGACCCCGGGATCATGACCTGAGCCGAAGGCAGATACATGATGGACTGAGCCACCCAGGTGCCCCTTAAAAATAAATTCTTAAAAAAAATTTCACAGTTTTTTTTTACTACCTTTTTTTTAAACCTAAGCTTTATTGAAATATAATTCACAAACCTTACAGTCCATCCACTTAAAGTGTACAATTCGGGGCACCTGGTCTCTCTGCTCATCAGGGAGTCAGCTTCTTCCTCTCCCTCTATGATCTCTTTCCCTCTTGCTCTCACTCAAATAAGTAAATAAAATCTTAAAAAACATGTACATTCCAATGGTTTTTAGTATATTGGCAGTCATGCCCTGAATGTATACCCAGGAGTGGAATTGCTGGATCATATGGCAATTCTGTGGTTAACTTTTTGAGGAACCGCCAGACTATTTTCCAATGTGGTTGCACCATTTTACATTCCTAGCAACAGTGTATGAGGATTTCCATTTCTCTGTACCCTTGTCAACATTTGTTATTTTCTGTTGTTTTTTTTTTAATTATTATATCCATCCTAGTGGGTGTGGCTTTGACTTGCATTTCCCTAATGACTAATGATGTTGAGTATCTTTTCATGTGCTTACTGGTCATGAGTATATCTTCTTTAGAGACATGTCTCTTCAAGTCCACTCAAGCCCTTTGCCCCTTTTTTATTTGAGTTACTTGTCATTTTATTGTTAAGTTGTCTACATTCTTTATAGAGTCCCTTATCAGCTATATGATTTGCAAAACTCTGTGTTGATACCAACTGCCTTGATTACTGTAGCTTCATAGCAAGTTTTGAATTCAGGAAGTGTGATTCCTTCAACTTCGTTCCTCTTTTTTCAAGACTGTTTTGGCTATTTTGGGTCCCTTGGATTTCCATATGAACTTTAGCATGCACTTGTTAATTTCTTCAAAGAAGCCACTAGGCATTTGATAGACTGGTTTGAGTCTATAGAGCAATTTGGGGAGTATTACCATCTTAGCAATTTTAAATCCTCTGATCTATGAACACAGACTATCTTCCCATTTTTTTAGATCTTTAATTTCTTTCAGTGTGTTTTATTTTTCAGTGTACGAGTCATGTGCTTCTTTTATTAAATTTATTCCCAAGTATTTTATTCTTTTTGATCTTTATAGATGGACTTGTTTTCTTAATTTCATCTTTGGATCTTTCATTGCTAAGTGCACAAAAGTACTATTGATTTTTGTATTTTACAATCTTGCTGAACTTTTTCTTGACTCTTTTTGCATGTCTTTGTATATCTAGAGCTTCCCCTTTCTTTCTAATAGTCACACAACAGTGCATGGTATAGAAGCTATAATTAATTTAACAAACCTCCACTAATAGACATTTTGGGCTGTTAGCATTTTTCTTTCTTTCTTTCTTTTTTTTGCTGTTATTGATCGTGCTAAAAAGAACATTCTTTGGACCACTCAACCATTCTGGGCATGTGTATCAAGTGCCCACTCTATGCCATGCACTCTCTGAGGCACTGGGGATACAGACAGTAAAAGAGTAAATGAGGTTTCAGCTTGGGAAAATCTCTGTGTAGAGAATAAAGCAGAGAGATGTGCTAGGGAGTAACGGATGTGCATTTGAGAGGAATTCTTTGAATTGAGGAGCCTGAGAAGATTTCTCCAGATTTCTCTTGAGTCAGGATCCAACTGATGAAAGAGAACCCACTGTTGGAAGATTGGAAAGATTGTTCCAGGCACAGGGAATAGCAAGTACAAAGGCCCTGGGGTAGAAATGGGCTCCCTGTGTTCACCAAACAGAAAGCAAGCCAGTGGGCCTGGAGAGCTGCCAAGGCCAGAGGAGAAGTGGGCAGGGACCAGACTAAAGCCGGCCTTGTAGCCTGAAAAGCCGTTTGCATTTTGTTACGAATGTGGAGAGAAGCTGCGGCGGGGGGGGGGGGCTGGGGGGGGGGGGGGGTGTGTTAAGCAGGGGAATGATCTGATCTACTTTATGTTCTAAAAGAGATCACTGCAGTTGCTTAAGAAGCATTTATTTCCCCTGCCTTATTTCAAACACTATGTTCATCAAAGTGTAATTACTGGGTCGACAGGTTTGTGCATTTAAAATGTTCTAGATGCTGCCTGCTAAGTGTACCTCCCCCAAAAGATAGCTGTACTTTTCACTCCAAGGGCTTCACCTCTTTTTGTCGCCAGGGGCATTCAGGGTGAGGTGCACCTCAGGCTCTCACCCCCTTGGCCCTGGCACCCACCGTCTTGCTTCCCTTGTAGGACCTGTACCGCTGTGTTTGCCCTGCAGCTCTGGTTCTGCTGCCCACCCCTTGGGTAACACGGGCACCCCGGGAACATGGCAGACGAAGACCTCATTTTCCGCCTGGAAGGTGTTGATGGTGGCCAGACCCCCCAGGCTGGTCACGACGGTGAGTCCGAGGCCGACAGTGACGATGAGGAAGGTTACTTCATCTGCCCCATCACCGATGACCCCAGGTCACACCAGAATGTCAATTCCAAGGTTAATAACTACTACAGCAACCTAACAAAGAGTGAACAGTATGGCTCCAGCGGGTCCCCCGCAAGCTCCTTCCATTTTAAGGTGAGTGGACCACCCAGCTCCCTCCTCCCCCCCGCCGCCCACCTGCCGCAAAGGATGGGGGAGCTGGGGTCACTGGTTGGGGTCTTCCCTGTGTTTCCAAACCCTGGGCAGCACTCTAAATTCTGGATTGGAGGATTTACCTGTTAAACTGGGAGGATTTTGATGCCTTAAAACAAGTTTCATTACTTTAGAGCAGGTGTTTTTGAAATAGCTGCTGATGACCCACTACTGGGTTGTGAAAACCTTACCAACTTTTTAAAAAATGCAGCAGAACAGAATAGACTAGGGAATATGGGAGACCACTGCAAATTGTAAAGATCTTTTTTTTTTTTTAAAGATTTTATTTATTTATTTGAGAGAGAAAGACAGAGAGCATGAGAGGGGGGAGGGTCAGAAGAAGAAGCAGACTCCCCGCTGAGCGGGGAGCCCGATGCGGGACTCGATCCCGGGACTCCAGGATCATGACCTGAGCCGAAGGCAGTCGCCCAACCAACTGAGCCACCCAGGCGCCTGTAAAGATCTTATTTTTTGGAACATGTGCTCACACATGTTCACTCACATAAATGTGGTGACCCAGTTGGTAGTTGAGGGCCAAACTCTACTCATGTAAATACTTGCATTTCACCCCTGACGTATGTGTCTGTGGGTCCAGGGACGTGATGTAAAATGTGGTTCTTCGTGTTGGTTGTGATCGAAAACGCCCCTGCCTTAATACAACACTGTATGTAAACTGGAATTAAAATTAAAATCTTAATTAAAAAATTTAAAAAAAAACTGCTTGGAGTTGGGCATCCTTCTGAATTGAGGAAAAGGGTAATTATTTTGTTAGGGATTTGTATTCATACTACGGTAAAGCTGGTATAAAGGAGGGGGGAAAGATGAACATTATTGGGCTTTTGAATCATAACTGGTGATGAAAAAAATTTCATTTATTTAGCTAGTAGTAATCTCTTTGCCCAACATGGGGCTGAAACTCATAACCCCAAGATCAAGAGTCACGTGCTCTTCCAACTGAGCCAGATAGGCGCCTTGAAAAAAATTTTAAACGCACTAATGTTATCCTTATTTAATTTGATGCCCACCAACAGAAGGTATCTGTTAGTACTGTAAGCAAAATGCACATTACCACTTTGGGATTGGGAATTGGAGCCATTCTTCTCTAACTTCAGAATTAATCTGTTTTTATTTATTTTTTTATTTTTTATTTTTTATTTTTTAAAGATTTTATTTATTTATTCATGAGAGAGAGAGAGAGAGAGAGGCAGAGGGAGAAGCAGGCTCCCAAGGAGCAAGGAGCCTGATGCGGGACTCAATCCCAGGACCCCAGGATCATGACCCGAGCCGAAGGCAGACACTCAACCATCTGAGCCACCCAGGCGCCCAGAATTAATCTGTTTTTAGAAAATTAATAATTTTGGTTCTTGGACAGTTGGGTATTTTCTTCCCGTCAGAGCCAGAGTTCTAGATTAGATCTCTGTGGGGCAGGCAGCTCCAGAAACAGCCCTATGGGTCTGCTGTGAGGCTGGGAGGCCCCTGCAGGATCAGGTGGCGGCTTGTCTTGCTTTCCTGTCCTCAGCCAGCCTCTGAGACTCACGCCCAGCCCCAGGGAGGGCAGCGTGGCACTCCTATGTTCACTGTGGGTCAGGGTGGCTTGAGGAGACACAGATCCCTGAGGCATCCTGTACCTGGTGTGAGAGAATCTGGGTGCCCGTGGGTGCTGGAGGGCCCAGGACTCGTGAAACAGAAGCTAGCTCACCCCAGCTCCAGGGAAGAAGGGTATTTATTTCTTGGGACCCTGGGGGAGAAAGAACGTCTGGTCTCTCAGGGGACGGGTCTAGGAACCGGAAGGCAGCAGGACTGTCTCTGTCTCTCTTTACCTGTCCTTTATTCTCCTCTCCCTCAGTCTACACAGCGGGAAAATGGACGCCCGCTGGCCCCAGCACCCCCTCATTACTGCCCTCTCCATCCCAGTTGCAAGCAAGGGGGCGAATATCTGGTTGGCCCAGCCTGGGTCAGGCGTCCTGTCTCTGACCCAGTCCTTTCTGACCCAGGGTGTGAGACTGGGAGGGTCGGTGTCACAGAAGAAGGACTACTTCCAGGGAAGGAGGATCCTGGTGGCCTCCCAGCGGGGGCAGACCCCGCAGCTGCCTCTCCAGAGGAACTGTGACCCCGGTGGGGGCTTGTGGAAGACACTGGGAGGGCCCAGGAGCTGAAGGGTCTCAGACCCAGATGGCCAGTCCCTGACCACAAAATGTGACCACAGTGAATGAAGCCTTTAAAGGAAGCGCTGACTGAGTGTCCCAGGGAATGGAGGTTTGTCTGCAGGTGTGGCTTTGGGATGTGAGCCTCATGAGGGCAGGACACAGTGGCCTCCATCACTCATCCCCAGGGGCCATGCTCTGCACACAGTAGGTGCTTCATTCAGAATCAGGGAGTGCTGAACTCACTGTGGGTGCTCTCTTGCCAAAGGACAGTATTTATGTAAAACATAAATCCTAGTGGGCCATTTGACTGTAGTTATTAAAATAAAAAATATATAGCTCAGATGGCAATTTGATCTCCAGAGAATCCTTCTCAGCCAGAGTGTTCCCGCTGGGGCTACTATTGGCATCCGGGACGGGACAGTTCTTTATTCGGTGGGCCTGTCCCTTATATTGTAGGATATTCAGCATCTCCGACCCCTGCCCACTAAGTGCCATATTTCTCCCCGTTCCTTACAGCAAGCCAGAATGTTCCCTGCCAGGTATTTACTAAGCCAACCTCAGTTTAGATCCAGTACCGAAGTATTTGTACAAGCGTTCAAATTTACATATTTAAAGATGTACTCTGCAGTATTGTTCGTAATAAAGAAAAAATGAAAAGAGCTCAAATGTCCATCAAGAGGGGCTTATTTATGTATTTATTTATTTATTTTTGAAAGATATATATATATATATTTTTATTATTAACTTACAATGTATTACTTGTTTCAGGGGTACAGGTCTGTGATTCATCAGTCTTACACAATACACAGCGCTCACCATAGCACATACCCTCCCCAGTGTCCATCACCCAGCCACCCCATCCCTCCCGGCCCCCACCACTCCAGCAACCCTCAGTTTGTTTCCTGAGATTAAGATTCTGTTATGGTTTGTCCCCTCTCTGGTTTTGTCTTATTTCATTTTTTCCTCTCTTTAAGAGGAGCTTATTTAAATTTTAAACCATGGTCCTAAGAGAATACCTTATTCACATTAAAACAAAGATGATGTTTCTATGTGATTTGACTTGAATACAGTGCCAAGATGTGTGTGTCTGTGTGTGTGCACACATTTGGAGGGAAGATCCCATGAAAAGCCATAAGGACAGGGGCACCTGGGTGGCTCAGTCGTTAGGCGTCTGCCTTTGGCTCAGGTCATGATCTCAGGGTCCTGGGATCAAGCCCCACATGAGGCTCCCTGCTCGGCGGAAAGCCTGCTTCTCCCTCTCCCACTCCCCTTGCTTGTGTTCCCTCTCTTGCAGTCTCTCTCTCTCTGTCAAATAGATGAATTAAAAAAAAAAAGAAAAGCCATAAGGACAGTATGGACATAATTAGAATAAGAAATGGTAGCTATTTTTATTTTTATATACTGTTAAGAAAGCAAGTTGAAATATAATACAGTCCCACATTTATCAAAAAAATACACACACGTCTTAGTATTTACATAGCAAAAACTTGTACGGAGGAATTTGTACACAATAGTTAATAGTGATTCTCTCTATGGGAGAGGGAGCCGTTATGGGGGACTTTATCTACATTTTATCTATTTTTAAACATCCAGGACTTTTAAACTACACCTCTGTATTACTTGTGTGCAGAAAAAGACTTTAGGAAGAAAAATAAAGCAAAACAGCCAGGTACACTTCCCCCTCCCAAAACAAACAAATCAATAAATTGCCCCTCCTTAAAATTTCTACAAGGCATAGTTCAAAATCATCACCGAAGATGGGCGCACTCCTGGTCCCCAGGGACCCTACTGGGCTCTGTTCACCCCACACCTCTCCCTGTTCCTGCAGTAGGTTTCCCTTTTCGCGCCTATGCCTGAAACCTCTTTAAACTTGGTGTCTCGGTCTGGTCTGTTCAAGTGATTGTTCTGGCCCCCTCAGGATGTGGTTTTAAGACACCCTGCCCTGGCTATCTCTTGTGCATCCCCTGGGGCTCAGAGCAGACCTCTGCATGCCCTGTCATCCTCTGTCTGAGTTAGCCACTGCCTGCAAGGCTGGGGACTGATTGCACTTCCTATTCCCCGAACTTGGTCGAATGACCAGTTATGGACCAGATGTGCCTCTTGGTTGCCCACCATCCTAGGTAACCGAAAGCAGGCTCTGTGGGGTTCATGTTGCCCAAGGCAGCTTCAGAGAGGAATAGCAGCTCAGTTTTCCAAACCTCACTCCTCCTGGCGCTCTGCAAAGCGAAAGTGTTTTTTTGTTTACTGTCGACATGGCAACCTGGGTTGTTCAAGCAAAATGGCCTCTAAAGAGGCACCACCGTGGCAGGTACTGGGCATGTAGTGTGAACAGTCCAGTTCTGTCACTGTCAAGGCCAGGGCCTTCCGCCTAGTTCCCCGGGGGATGGTGGTGGAGTCGTTCAGGGGGCCTCCCTCTTGACAGAACATCAGGCAGCCAAGCAAGGATGTTTATAGAATTTGCCATAATGTGGGAAAGTGCTTCGGCTCTGGAGCTATATTCAAATAACAGAATACAGAGTACAGTGACAGCTTTGTAAAACACACATGCACGCGCGTGTGCAAACACACACAAGAACCTGGAAGGAAGTATATCAGAGCACCAACAGGGATTGTCTTTGGACAGGATCTAGAGCGATCGCGTTCCCTTTTTATGCTCTGTCATTTCTCCATTGTCTAGAATGAACATATATACGCTTTTAATTTTTTAATAAAGTGGGAAATTTGGGATGCTTGGGTGGCTCAGTTGGTTAAGTGTCTGCCTTCAGCTCTGGTCATGATCTTGGGATCCTGGGATCG